ATAATGCTGCTCTTGGGTGCAAAAGGTACTGTAGTTTTGAACTTTATTCTCAAAAAGGATGTATTATTGTATGATGTATTTATTTGATAAAATTAAATAATAAATAATAAATTTAAAAGTTAATTGGAATATTTTGAATTTACATATATTTTTGGTAATTAATATTAGGATTCTACGTAGTTATTATTTTGATTATAGTGAGTTAATGTTCGGATTTTAGTAAATCGAAATTATAGTCTTTAAATACCTAAATGTAATTCTTTAATTTGTATGATAGACAACCAATAATATTTAGTATTCATAATTCTTTGTTATCAAATTGATACCAATAAATAGAAATTGAGTATTTGAGCATCGAGAGAACTTGAAGAGAGTGATAATTGGTCTAACAAATAGTGTAGTCCTATCCCGGTTGACAAAAACAATCAAGTATGAGATGACAATCAAAATTACAAAGAAATCAATTGAAAATATTTATCCCTTGTTCGTAGAGTTTTTCAAAAGATAAGTTTCTTTGTACAATTTGACAATCACCCCTTTTACTTATTTTTACCCTATTTATATTTTTGTTATGTAATCGTTAAGACACTTTTAAATATTAAAATAAAAATAAAATTAAGGTGAAGTCAAATAAAATACACGAAATGGAAAATAAAATCCACAAAAGGTTACTTTCCTATACCTGTTTCCCCTTTTCTTGAGTCATTTTGTTGCCACATAATACCTATAAACGCACATGTCATGTAATGAGATTATAACTATTTCTGCATATCTCTCGATTGCATAACTTATTCTCGATACCTTGTTCTTGATGTCTTGTTTCTCTCGATTTGCAACCCTGAACTTAATACTCCTAATTCATCAATTGTTAGTGTTTGATTGACCACACAATACTTTTAAATAACTTCTCATTTGTTCAACCCAATCTTTCTTCTCGATAATATGCACTTATGAGCATTTCCTAATCATAAGCATTTAAAGCTTATACCTTCGATTCTCACATTCCAATTCATTACTTAAATGAACTTTCTCACGCGGACTCTTTTGGTCTCGATATTTAACCCTTAATAACTCTGCCTTCTTCCTTTGTTACCATTGTTTCCTTTGAAACCTCTTATATTTCTCGATTTGTTTCTTTTAATATATTTGCAAATTTGTGAGTAACAAAATGTTCCCTAAGAGAATGTAACATAAATTTTGATGAATATACATTTATCTTACTCTTGATTACAATACAACTTATTCCTATATTTTAATTTATTTGTTTGTTGCAATTCTTCTAAAAGCTGCATGATCTCGTTTTCATCATTGTACCTTTTCCCCCTTATAAATGCAAAATTGTAATAAATACTATCACCCATTTAATCGTCATTGATTTTAATTTTTGGTTAAAATATTACATGACTAGATATGGGTCAATACAAAAGCCCATTTGACATTTAGGTTCCCTTGGGAGTTGAATTCTTTAAACTTAAAATAGTTTCATTTTCTTTGCTAATTTACACTTGTGCTCAATATCTTTTAATCCAGTCTTCTAAATCTTCGAACATCCTTACCTCCTTTTACACTATGTTAAGCCATCTATTCTTATCAACTTTCTTTCCCCATTCAAAGCATTAGGGCTTTTTCTTCTGGTACTACTCAAGTTTTCAGCCTTAACCCCATCTTTGCATAGTTGGTTGAGATCAACAACAAGACCTTCGTCTTAGTTCTCGGCCTGGAAGAAGAATCACAGAAAATATGCTCAACCTAGGTACTTATCCCATACTTAGTAAGAGGTATATCATATTCCTTTGAAGGACCTTTGATCCTAAACTCAAATGAGTCTGAAGATTTGCCTTAATTTGAAGAAGGAAAATCCATTTTGCAAGAAATAGATGGGAAGTTTATGATTGATTTTCTCTCTTAATCATCCAAAGTTTTTCGTTTTGGGCCACCCTAGAAGAAACTTTCTTTCATCAAATAGCTCAATAGTATTGAGTCCAAGTTCAAGTCACACTAGAAGAAGATTGACATCTTCAACCTACTTTACCTTTCTCAATTCAACATCGGTTATCTCAACATGTCGATGTTTCTTCCAGTGCACAACTTTAGAACATGGATCTCAACGCCCTACCCCATGTAGTCTAGTTACTCCAACTCTCCTTGAGATTGTGCCTTAATAGGTCTCAATCCTGTTAGAGAGTAATACTATATAAACATTTTACCTGTTGACAAGGAGCTCGAAGCAAAAATTTGATGGGGCAGGAAAGCTTATAGCCACTTCCTATAAGAGAACTTCATCAATAACCCTATTATTGTTGTTTCCGATGAAGAACACATTGTTTTTCTTGTGTACTAGTTATATACACACATCTTTTGCCCTCGATCAATCCAAATTTATCCACACTACTTCAACTTGGCATATTTTCTGCACCAGGGATCACCTTACATTTGTTTGTCCAAGTTATTGCTAGCCCATGTGTACATTGTTTTTGGCAAAGCAGTGGATGCTCTTCGATCTAACCTCCCTGGTAGTAACCTTTCCGGGCCATTATGGTTTATTCAACTTTGGTTGGTTTCTACTTTTTAATTGCTCTTCCAGCACCTGAAGTCACATCGCCTCCAATTCTCTCATATCCAATGGAAGGCATCAGGCTAGCTACTCATCATCCAAGACAACCTGACTCAACCATGTACAAAGCTTACCTACAACTTTTGTTATCACGTTCGATATCATTCTTGTCCCCTTCTCCAAAATTGGAAGCTCTGTTCATCATATTCAAGGCATTATGGCTCAAGTTGAAACCCTCAACCAACACTCCAGGATTACAAGCTAAGTTGATTGAAGTTTGGAGTGGATTTCTAATGTGGGATATACTAATAGCAAGCTTCCAAACGAAAGACGTAAAATTCTTCCCTTAATATTTCTTGCGTCAATTCGATTTAAGTCAAGCCTTCCTCGCATCTCAATACCACCGGACTATCCCTCGTAATATCAATGAATTTAGAATAAGAGAACACTCATTTGACTCCTTCCAAGTCAAGCCAATTGAATTTCACCTTGCCCATTTGATTTCAATTTTCTATAAAATTAAATATTTTATTATAAATTTTATGTTATTACTTAAAATTTGATGAAAGTTATTTATATAAATAATTTTTTCCTAATTTTATTTTTAAACAACTCAAACGGAAAATTCATAATTAAACATTCACTTTATTTCTAAATAACTTTTGATAATAACTTTAAAGATGCTTTAATTTTATTTTTTCTGTTTCCATGAAATTCAAATCCTTATGATAACTTCGACTTCTTTACGGTCAAAATATTTTATTTAAGTGGGTGAAAAATTTAAAATTTTATTAAAATCGATAAAAGCGTGTAAAGTAATAATTTTAACTCGAATCAATATTAAAATTGTATTATATAGCACAATTTTTAATTTTTAATTTTTAATTTTTAATTTTTTATATATTTTTCTAGACGTGCTATTGAGCACGAATTAAATATAATTCCTATTATATTCAACTCGTGTTACCTAATAAAAATTTCATGTTTTTTTAATATTTTTTAATATATTAACCATTGAATGATTAATTTTGATTTAATTATTAATTTAATAAAAAATAAAAATATTTAGAGAAATATAAATTAATTTAATATAGTAAATTTATATTAAAATATTACATAAATATATATATATATATATATATATATATATATTATTACAAGAAAAAAATTAATGGTTAAAATTGGTTTTTAATATATATTTATGTAATATTTTAATTAAATATTTTTATTTTTTATTAAATTAATAATTAAATAAATTAATTATTTAATAAATAATATATTTAAAAATTCTTTTTCTTTTTAAAAAAGAATCACATAAAACTCATACTGATTCAGTATAACTGGAATTATATATAACTCATACTGTCAAGTAGGTCTTTAAAAATAAAAAAATTAAAAATTAAATAACTAAAATCGTGCTTAATTCATTTTAATAAAATTTTAAAATTTTACCCCTTTTAATAAAAATTAATATATTTTTTTAACCTCTTTATTAAAAAAAAAAGCCGAAATCATTTTTTTTTTAACTTTAGTTAAAAAAAGAAAAGCGGAAAGTTACTTGAAACCTCATCTTTCTCTCTCTCTCCTCAGTCTCATGTTTAGAAATTGATATTTTAATAATAAATTTAATTTTTTTTTATTAAATTATTTCATAATTATTATATTCATAAAATTTTATTTTATTTTTTATTAAATTATTTTATAATTATTATATTAATAAAAATGGATTGTTGTGAGAGTTTGTTTTTTTAAGTTGTCAAAATAATACCTCCCAAATTTAACGACAGCCATCCATTATTAATATTTTTTGTTTGACAGAATGTTGTTATTGACTTGAGTATTGTAAATCTAATGAAGTTTATGTTGCTATTGTGAGTTCTAGGTTCTCGTATTAATATTTTTATTGGTATGGTATGAAAATAAAAACAGGGTAAAGCAATCAAAGTTTGTCTAACTAAACTGATTCCAAAAGAAATCGTCAGGCATATCAAAGTATTTCCCCTCGTCCAGGCTTTTGAATCCATTGCTTATAATATTGATCAAAATTATTAATTTTGTGATTTGGCATAGGTTATATGTGGATATATAGAACAACTTTACCTCTGACAAAATTTTTATATAAAAAATAATAATAAATGATAGAATAAGACACAACAGCAACAAGAGAAACATTTGGTTTGAGATTTGAGAAACTTGCCATAAATGTGAAGTTGAAATATAACATAAACAGCATTAATAATTAACTATAATTATAAGGGATGAACAAGCACATCAACCAAAGGTTTCTACATAGGAAATATGAGAAATAAGGTTTCTAAATAGGAAATATGAGAAATAGTTTGTGGTAGCTATATCCCATTTCCAACCAAATGGACATCAATGGAAGAGAACATGCATGTGATTTATTTGCTAGTAAGATGCATGCAATGTTTGATGAGACGTTGAATCAACAAATCTTGGTGCAGAAGCATCGGTGACGGAAGCCTCTGCACTTTCCACCGGAGAAACCTTCGTTCCTGCAGACCAGAGCACAGTTATGGTCACCAGAACACGCACCCTTGAACCCGTGGCTCTGTGACTCGCACACTCTTCCCTCCGTCTGCACCACCACCTCTGCCACCACAGACAAAACACATCATCAGATTCATCAAACACACATTACTCATACAACGGTATTAAACAAGTGACATTATATAAAAAAACAGAGAGAAGATTAATCTTACGGGATGCAAAGACAAGGAGGAGGAGCAAGAAGAAGAACCCACAAGATTTCCTCATCTCCATTAACCTCTTCCTTCACTACTGTATTATATTGTATGCATACAATGAAGAGTGAAGCAAGTGTTGTTATATAGTGAGTTGAGGGAGTCGATGGGAAGAGAGCGCGTGTATGACCTGTCAGATAAACACGCGGAAAGATTAAGACCACTGAATCTATGCATATTTTGATATTCGAAGAGGGACATGTTCACGTGAATATTCAGAGATTATGTACCTGCATGCTCAAATGCATGCAAAATTTCTGAAAACTGATAGCTTTGTTTTGTCTCTTTGTTTGTGTTGAGTGAAAAAAGGTGAAGGTGGGGATTCAAAATGTACAGTTTCACGTGACCTGCAACTCATTTACTCACTCTTGTTGTAACGTTAACTAGCGTGCCATTCATGGAGAGAAAAAAGACAAACCCACCAAAAGTAGATGCTCATGCCATGCTAGTCCTTGTTTGGTCTGGATCTCGATCTATGTTTTAAGAGTATAATAAGTTATTTAAAACATTTTTAGGTTAAATATGAATAATGTATCTGTGTGTTTACTTGATTTTACAAAACTAAACAAACACATATAATAACAAGTATACGCATTTGCATTATAACCTAATATTACACTATATGTATGTGGTTTTATATGTATGTGTTTGTGTTTTAGTTGAACATGATTTGTTTGGGTTCAATGATTCCTCACTGTCCTTAGGCTAGGCCTGTAAACTAGGCCACAGGCCTGCTCTAGTACCAGAATGCCAGTGTAATACAAAATGAAAATATGGAAATATCCATTTAAAAAAAAATGAATTATACCCCATATCAGAAAATAATTTTATCTTACAACTTTTCATGAGATTGATTGGTTCTGGGAGTATATTGATTAAGAGGAAGTGCAGGAGATAATTTACGGTGATAAAATATTGCTTTGGATTCAAGATCCAATAAATAAAATCATGGTCCTTAAATTTTTATATTTTTCTTTTATATTGGTGAAAATTGACTGAAAAGTCCACTTAACAAGTTGTATTATTTACCCTATATTTTTACACTGTCCAAATGAATAAACAGAAATATAATAAACTATAACGAGCCCAAGGTTATGTTCTTTTTTATCATTAAAACCACGTAATTTATTTACACGATTTTAAATAAATATTAAATATAAACTTAAGTTATTCACGCTAGAATATTTTATTTTAAAAATAATACTTTCGATGAAATATTAAATAATTATAACATATAATTAAAAGATAATAATATAATGAATAATTACTCTATTTATTATATTATATTTTAATCAATAAAAAAGTTATTGTAAAAATTAGTTTAAGTAAATTATTTACACCTTTTTATATATATAAATCTAGAAAAAATATCCATAACTATTATATTTTACTAAATTTGATAAATTTATATAAAATAGTAAATAAATAATTGAAAAACCAAGTAGATCTTTGAAAACTTTTTCTAAGATCTTCCACAAAATTGATTTTTGAAGTAACAAACTTAAATAGAAACTTAAAAGAGTAATTATATTTGTAAACGTTTATATTAAATAATTAAAAAAAAACATTTATCCAAAATAAAATTCGTCATATCTAATTTAAAAAAAAATTGAAGTTTAATAAAAATAATATAAAACATACTTATATTAAAATTGAATAATTTCTAGTTAAGTTCTATTATTTTTTTAAAAATAATACAAGAGTCAATATTACATTACATCATTTATTTAAATAATTTAATTTTTATACTATTTAAAATTTAAAGAATAACTATCACATAGTTAATATATGTTTTTAATTTATTGTATAAAAACATATAATTTTTTTACAGTGTAATATTATTAGGATAATTTCTATAATTTAATATTATTTATAAATTATTATAAAAATAAATTATAAAAAATAAATATCTATGAAATATGGTAAATTTATTTTAAATTTATATATAAATTAATTTTTATTTAAATGTATTCTTATTAAAATCACATAAATGATATTTTGATTATTTGTTAATTTATTTAATTAATTTTTTTAATTAGTTAAATTAATATTATAAATTACAATGTTTTTAATTATTTTTTCAATTATTTAGATTTTTTTCTTTAGTTTAAATAAATCTCCTTTTCCATTCGCTTTTCTTTTTCTTTTTCTTCCCCATAAATATATCTTTCAATTTAAACACAAAACTAAGAAATTTTGTAATTAATAAATTGCCACCACAATCCAATATATCTTTGTCTTACTCAATAATTGTTTTAATCCGTTATATATATATATATATATATATATATATATATATATATATATATATATATATAAAGTTGATTATTTGTAATCTTGACCCTAACAAATATTTAAAGAATATATTTATAAAATATTACAAATTTTTATAATTTATATGTAAATTAATTTTATTTTATTCAAAATATTATATATATTTTTTTAAAATAATTAGTTCGGATTCGATAATATCTCAATTTTAATTTGTATTCAATTTAAATTAACCAATTATAAAAGTATTTTAGTAATTATTTATTTTTTAAAATAATTACATCAATAATAATTTTCATAATTTTACTACTTATTTTTCTTTATTTTCATTTTTTTAATTCAAAAAATTTAATATTTCATTTTTTTCTTATTTTTTCATTTACATAAATTCATTCCAATCCAAACAAAAACTTAATTTTAATAAAAAAATAATTAACTTTTATAATACTTTTAAAATAACTCTTCAAAAATGCAATTATTTTAAAAATAATATATTATCATATTTTATCCTATACAAATTAAAAAAAACTTCCATCTTATGAAAAAATAATTGTAACAATATAAAAAAATTATAAATGTAATGTAAAAAAAAAAAAAGTTTGATCATAATTTAGTGTAACTTATGTGACTGCAGTTTGGCGGTGACGAAGCCACGTGGCTGGTCTAAACTAGGGTGATCGCCGTTCTTGATGCATCGAAAGACTAAAAAAGAGTGCGTTCGGAAAAGAAGAAACATAGAAAAAGCATATTTAAAGGGTAATGAGTGGGTTTTACGATAAATTCGGTGCAAAAAAAGTGAAAGTAGTCACTTTACTGTGCTGCATGCAGGACATAAAAAAATGTGTTATCCAAGTCCAATAAGTCCTTTTCATATTTCCCAATTAATCCTGTATATACGAGCATTGATCCGTTGTTGAGACAAATTTGATGGTAGAAAATTGAGATGATTAGAGATGAGATGAGTTTGAATTTTTTTTTATTTTAAAAAGTTAGTAGTGGATATAGATAATGTAATTTTTATTTCAATTTTGATTTGTCTTGTCACAAGTATTTCTTTTTTTATTAGATATAATATCATTTTTTATATTTCACTAATTTTTATTTTTTTTATACCCACTTTTTAATTATTTTGTCTTTTTTAATCTTTTATATTAATTAATTTATTATATTATTCTCTCTTATCTTTCAGGTTTTTCATATTTTCTTAATTTCCACTTAGTGGAAAAATAGCGTTCTATGACGAGTTTTTATCACGGTCGTAATCCACCCGTCATAGTATGTAGCGCGGTGGCAATTTTGTAATTAAACCATAAACTTTCTATGTCGGGTAAATTTTAACCGACATAGTAAGTGGAAAGTTCACTTTTTATGTCGGTTA